GCCAAATGGATTCTAAGGCTGGAGAGAGTTAATGGTGCTGAGTTCCTGCTGTGCCCTAGGCAGTCAGAGAGGACTTCATGGAGGAAGAGTGGGGATGTTTCCAGCTCCTGAGGGCATGTGGAAATCCTGTGGTTACCTGAGGAGACAGAGTCCCTGTTTGAAAGTCATCAGGAAATTAGAGTCATCCGGGGTGATCAGAAGTGGTTGGATTGAGTCTGAACTTCACCTTTCGCAACAATGGGCTGAGCTCTTTGACTGGTATGGACACTAGTCCATACCAGGCGACCACCAGATGAATGGAACAGCCTTTACCTTCTGGGGCCTGCTGGCAGGGACCTGATCTGACACTTCACAGAGGCCTCTATCATCTCTGACATTTCATAATTTCTCAAGATTTCCAGTGTATCCTTGCTAGACAGGTATGCAAACCAGTTGGGCCAGGGCCAGGCCCCCAGGCCAGAGGCTCAGAGACTGAAGACAAATAAGAAAGGGGTGGATGTGAAACTTAGTTACTGCTTAGTACGTTTCTGATGAATGAGGTAGCAAATGAATGAATTACTGCACGTGAGTAAATAAAGGGGTGAGTGGTCAGTAGATCATGGAGGTGAGAGCAGAGGCAGGAAGGCTTTGTAGAGGAAATGCTGGAGCTGGTAAGGGGCTGTGACCCTAAGTTACAGGCTTCCTCCTGGTCCCACCTCCTCCTCCCCCCACATGACCAGGCCCTAGCAAGTGCTAATTTCACTTCCACATACTGTCTCACCAGGGTTATTTATTATAACTTGCAACTGGTAGGGCAAGGTCCGTGTGGGCAGACCTTTTCACTCCCAGCTTGTCAAGGCCTCCCAAAAGCTCTCTGGACAGTCTGTCCAGAGTTTAACCTGCAAGAGCACAGCCATGGTGCCCTGGGGTCCGGTGCTGGGAGCCCTGTTGGTGGTCATCGTCGGGTACCTGTGCCTGGTGGGGCTTCTCCGGCAGCGCAGGCCCCAGGAGCCCCCTCTGGACAAGGGCTCTGTGCCCTGGCTGGGCCATGCCATGGCTTTCCGGAAGAATATGCCCGAATTCCTGAAGCAGATGCGGGCCAAGCACGGGGATATTTTCACCGTGCAGCTGGGGGGCCAGTACTTCACCTTTGTCATGGACCCCCTCTCCTTCGGCCCCATCCTCAAGGACGTGAAGAGAAAACTAGACTTTGTGGAGTATGCGGAAAAACTGGTGCTCAAGGTGTTTGGGTACCAGTCCGTGCCAGGCGACCATCGGATGATCCACTCAGCCAGCACCAAGCACCTCATGGGCCACGGCTTGGAGGATCTCAACAAGACCATGCGGGACAGCCTGTCCTTGGTTATCCTGGGCCCCGCGGGCCCGCGCCCGGAGGCCAGCCGCTGGCATGAGGATGGCCTCTTTCACTTCTGCTACAACGTCTTGTTCAAGGCTGGGTACCTGAGCTTGTTTGGCTACACGAAGGACACGGAGCAGGACCTGCTCCGGGCGGAGGAGTTGTTCACGCAGTTCCGTAAGTTCGATCGCCTGTTCCCCAGGTTTGTCTACTCCTTGCTGGGGCCCCGGGAGTGGCTGGAAGTGGGTCGGCTCCAGCGCCTCTTCCACAAGACCCTCTCTGTGAGAGAAAACCTGGAGAAGGATGGCGTCAGCAACTGGATAGCCCACATGCTGCAGTTCCTGAGGGAGCAGGGGGTAGCCCCGGCCATGCAGGACAAGTTCAACTTCATGATGCTGTGGGCCTCCCAGGGGAACACGGGGCCCACCTCTTTCTGGGCCCTCCTGTTCCTCCTGAAGCACCCAGAAGCCATGCAGGCTCTGAGAAAGGAGGCTGCCCAGGTCCTGGGGGAGGCCGGGCAGTCTTTCACCTTCGACGTCAGTGCCCTGCAACGCACCCCAGTGCTGGACAGCGTGATGGAGGAGACCCTGCGGCTGGGGGCAGCGCCCACCCTGCTCAGGGTGGTGCACGATGACCACGTCCTGACGATGGCCAGTGGGGAGGAGTACCGGCTCCGCAGCGGAGACATCGTGGCCCTCTTCCCTTACCTCTCGGTGCACATGGACCCTGACATCCACCCCGAGCCCGCCGCCTTCAAGTACGACCGCTTCCTCAACCCCGACGGCAGCCGCAAGGTGGACTTCTACAAGGCAGGCAAGAAGATCCACCACTACACCATGCCCTGGGGCTCGGGCGTCTCCATGTGTCCCGGCAGGTTCTTGGCCCTGAGCGAGATGAAGCTCTTTGTCCTGCTCATGATCACACACTTTGACCTGGAGCTGGTGGACCCCGACGTGCCTGTGCCGCCCGTGGACCCCCAGCGCTGGGGCTTCGGCACCACGCAGCCCAGCCATGACGTGCGCTTCCGGTACCGCCTGCGGTCCCCTGAGTGAGCTCTGCCAAGGGGGCCGCCGGCCTGGCCAGCGGGGTTCCCTGGGGGGTCTTCGCCTCCTCTCGCCCCTCTGCAGCCAAGACCCCCGACGACGACTGCTCCCTGCGGCTCTGTGGCACCCCTACCTCTGTCCTGGTGGTCCTCCTTGCTCTCTTGTCTCCTTCTAGTCACCTCACAGGCTTACCACTGTCTCTCTAAAGCCCCTTCAGTGGGTTCTGCAGGCCCCCCTGTCATAGGAAGTCCAGAGGAAGGGATTGGGAGATAACACAGGCCTCTACCAGTCCTGCGGGATAGAAGCTGGTCCCCACGAGGAGCTCAGCATCTTGCCAATATGACCTCCACTCCCCCCTCCTTAATTTTCCCCCTCAATTCTATTCCATGTCTTCTGGAATTTGCATTCTAGAACTGTGTTGTCCAATACCAATACGAGGCAAGCCACATGTGTAATTTTTAATTTCCTAGTTGACATATATATTTTATAAAGAAAAGAAGCAGGGGGTGAGGGGGTGAGAGATCAACCAATGGACTTGTATGTATGCATCTGAGTATAACCAATGGACACAGACAGTAGGGGGGTGAGGGCATGTGCTGGGGGTGGGAGCGGCCGGGAAGAGGTCAATGGGGGAAAAAGGAGACGCATGTAATACTTTAAACAATAAAGAATTTAAATAAATAAAAAATAAAGGCAAGTAAAATTTGTTTTTATAATATATTGAACTTACCCCCATATATCCAAAATATTAGCATTTCAACATGTAATCAATATAAAGAATACTTTCAGATTTTTTTTTTTTTGGTATTGTCTTCCATATCTGGTATGTACTTTTTTTTTCTGGTATGTACTTTTTAAAAAAATGAATTTATTGGGGTGATATTGGTTAATAAAATATGTAGGTTTCAGGGGTACAATGCTATAAAACATCATCTGTATATTGTATTGTATGTTCAAAAATCTGGTGTGCACTTTTCACCCTTCCAGCACGTCTCAGTTCAGGCCGGCCCCCCATTCCAAGTGCTCCACAGCCACGCGTGGGTAGTGGCCACCAGACAGGGCACAGCCGGTAGAGAAATGCTGCCTCCGTGTAGGAATGATTCAAGCATTTCTCTCCGCACCCGGCCCGCAGGGCCCTCTGCTCACTCTGCTGCCAGAGACCTTTTCTAAAAGCATCTCTAGCTGTCACTATTTTATTTTCTGGTTCCCCATTCCCTTCACACACCTGATATTTAAGTTTTGCCCCAGCTGGTCCCCAAATTGTCCATCCAGTGCAATTCAACTTGGCCAGCTTTCCCTGGTAGAACTCTCTCGGTCTAGAAAGCACAGCTGCTTGCTTGTCCTGCCAATCCCAGAGCCGGCTACTCCTGGAAGCCTTCTTAGGTCTGGCCCCATCCCATCCTCAGGCGTCCAGCTGCTGGGGCTCCCCGAGTACTGTTTGCATCACAGCACATCTGTTATGGGTCCTTGCTGTCTGTCCGGGATTCTTCCTCCTGTCCCCTCCCCACACTGGAGCCCATGGGGCTTGGTATCATGTTCCTCATTTCTGACCCCCCAATTCCCCAGCTGTGGATTAAATTATAGACACCTGACTTCCAGTCTCGGCTAATTTACTTCACTTCCTCAAATCACTTCCTTCCCTCTGTGCCCTCACTCAGCTTTCTGGCATATGAACTAGAGACAGTTCCTGTTGCCATGCTTACCAGGGCTGGGAGACGGGGAGGGGATGCTGCCAGAGCTGCAGCTGGCTGATGGCAGGGCCTGGCTGGGGCTGTGATTGTGGGAACTGGTGTAGGGTCCTGGAGGAGGGAGGCCCCAGCAGCATGGACCCCCTGCAAGGACTGCCCAGTGGGGCTTCTCTCTGCTACTCCTCCCCCTCATCCGACTGGCCTCTTCCTTCCTGTTGAGGGTGCCTGTTCTGCCCTGAGTTTTGCCCAGATACTAGACTAACAGGAGTCTGTCCCCACCAGCTATGTGACTCTGGGTCAGGGCTGGCGTTCTCTGGGTCTAGCTGCCCCAAATGATGACCTACCTGGAGCCTGACCGAGCTTTGACTGGTTCCATCCTGTTCCATGAGGGGCCAGCAGCATACAGTGTTAGTAGGGAGCACAGGAGCGGGAGGACGGGGCTGGGAGGCTGGGGGCTGACCATGGGGAGTGAGCTCCCCAACAACCTGCCCACATAGCCAGGCCTGGTGCCAGAGCAGGTGCGGAATGGAGCAAAGTGGCAGGGCCTTCACATACCTCCTTGTCCCTGCCCAGACCTGGGTGCTGCATCCCATCTTCTGCCCCCCCCACCCCCCACCCCCCACCCAAAGGACCATGGACCAGGAGCCTGGCCTGTGGACAGGCTGGGGAAGGGCTGAGGCTCCAGTCCACTGAGTCAGGGCCAAGAGTCTCAATTGAGAGCGAACTTCATGGATCCTGTGACCAGTCTGAGGGTAGGCTGGGACCGAGGGAAGCCTCAGTGGTCAGGTATGAAGTAAATACAAGACTCCCATCCCACAGCAAAGGATGTCCCTGTAACAACAGGCCTCCCAGGAAGCCGTGAGTTCCCAGAATTAGAGAGTGCACTTACAGGCCAATGCCCACCGCTGGCCGCCCCCCCCCCCCCCCCCCCCGCATGGGGACTGCTGGAGACACCCTCTCCAAGGGCCGCCCTCCACTTTCCTTGCAGAGGCTGAAGGCAGTAGGAAGACTGAGACCTGTCCTGACCCAGCAGCTCTCATTTCTGCACCAGTTTTTCTCTCCCTCAGAGAAAAGCCCCCGATGTGTATTCTGTGAGGAAAGCTTATAACAAAGCCAGTCGGGAATGCCGTGCCACTGGTGAATTCCAGGCTCCCCGGGAAGAAAAGAGATGTTTTCCTAGGTAGTAACTGCTGTGAATGCCCTCGCCACACTTCCCAGGGTGGAGGGGGCAGCCCTGCTCCTGGACTGAGCCGCGCCTGCCTTTCCCTGTAGGCAGGTCCCCAGGTGCTGCATCTCCGGATTGCCAGGCTCCGGAGCCACCACCAAGGCTGCAGCATTAAACAAAACAACACCAGGATTTCCCCAGCTGAACGAGAGGGCCAGGAGCGGCCTGGTGGGCGGGAGGCCACAGGCTTCTGGGAGGGAGATGGCAGCGAAGGCTGAAGGTGTTGCAATCACTCTGGCTGCCGGGTGCAGATGAGATGATAGGAGACGGTGACCACAGGACACCGAGGTCAGTTGGGCAACCACTGCAGCAGATCAGGGAGTATGATGTCCTGGAAGGAGTGAGCGGGTGCTGCTGAGGGTTGCGAACTGAGCTCTGGGCTGAGCAGCGTGGTCACGGGGCCCCTTGGAGAGAAGACGCTGGGTGGATGCCCAGCTGAGCTGGGTCCCCTCTGCTCTCACCGGACTGTGGCGTGGCCGCTGAGGCTTTATTTCCCCCGACAGCCCCCTTGTTGGGGGAGTCCTCAGCCTGCCCCTCCTCAAGGTCATTCATGCTGGTCATTTCCTCTTGGACAGTGAGGCCGCTACTCTCACAACAGCTGGACAGTGGGGCCTGGGCAGGGCATGGTCCCTGGTGCCGTCCAAACAACTCGGCCAAGAAAGCCTTTAGGTACTGGCAGAAGCAGCGGATGGAGAAAGCATAGAGGATGGGTGTGAAGCAGCAGTGAAGGAAGGCGATGCTCTCTGTGACCTGCAGCGCATAATCCAGGTAGTTGCTGGTCTCGCAGTCCCCAAAGACTCTCAGGTCCATGAGCGAGTGCAGGAACAAGATGAGGTTGTACGGGAACCACAGCACGAAGAAGGCCACCACGAGGGAGACGGCTACCTTTAGAGCCCGGCCCTGGCCTGGGGGCCTCAGCCTGACCAGGGCGGAGCCGATGCGGGAGTAGAAGAAGATCATGGCGAAGAGTGGAAGGATAAACCCCAGGATGTTCTGCTGGAAGCGGAGTATGAGCTTCCAGACGGTCCCATGCCCTCCGAAATCCGCATGGCAGTTCCACACACCCTCATGGTTTTCATGGATCCGCACAAAGACCATGTCAGGGATGGAGACAGCCAGGGCCACAGCCCACACGATGACAACCAGGAGCCAGCGCTTGGCCCGGGTCCTCAGCCTGTGGTGGGGCTGAGCGTGGACGATCTGCAGGTACTTGTCCAGGCTCATGCAGCTAATGAAGAAGATGCCACTGTAAAGGTTGATGGTATAGAGAGCGCTCACCATCTTGCACAAGAAATTCCCGAAGACCCAATGCCAGGCCACGGTGGTGATCCAGAAGGGCAGGGTCACCACAAACAGGAGGTTGGAGATGGCCAGGTTCAGCAGGTAGACCTCAGTCATCCTCCGGCGAGGCACGTACCGGAGCAAGACCACTAGGAGCAGGAGGTTCCCGCTCAGGCCCAGCACAAAGACCAGGCTGTAGAAGACCGGCAGGAAGACTTTGGCAAAGGCCAGCACCTCGTCCTTCATGCAGGGCACGAAGGCCGCTTGGTCCAAGTAGTACTCGTAGTCATAGAAGGCGCTGCTGTTCTCGGAACTGGCGACCTTGGTGGTGAGTGGCTGAGGGGAGGTGGCCATGCTGGGAGGAGACATCCCGTCCTGGAGCGCTGCAGACCAGAGAGCAGTGCGGGAGAAATAAGATGAAGCTAGGCGATCCCTCCCTCACTTCAAACCCAGTTTCTACTGCTCCGGGATATCCAATGGACCCCTCACGTCTACATCAGTGCCTGCAGCCGAGCAAGTATGAGCCTAAATGTGGGAGCCCGAGTCTACCCTCAATAGTGATGTCACCTTGCGTAGGTATTCACTTCTTACGATTCTCTTCTTTATTTCCTCCCTTGTCATTTAAAAAGACTGGCACTGTCTTTCTGATTTTTCTTTCTTATTTAGGGGCTACCAATTCATCTGCTGATTCTGTCTCCGCACTCTTCCTCGTGTGTGGCTTCTCATTATTCTTCTCCGTGGGGCTTATACATATTTTTTGAATGAGAGCTTCTCTTCAGTGGGCTTGTTTTATCTATAAAAGTCTAGTGTGCCCGCTCTGGCTTTGAGCCTTCTTTACTTCCACCGCCTGAGAGTGTCCCTTTGCTTTTATTTACAGCATTTTATTTATAAGTATAGCTTTCTATCAATATTTTCTTTCATATTTAATATTTTAATATATTTTATCCAGCATTTTCAGGTTGGTAGCAGAAAGGAGTGATCCATCATGTTGATAGAAACTACTAAACTTTTCCATCCCTCAATCTCCTCTTCTTTAAAATGATCATGATAATGAATAGTGCCTACTCATGGGGTTCTTTTGAGGCTTAAATATGATAATTCATGTGAAGCACTTCAAGCCCTATGAAGAGTACTAATATTTACTCAGTAAACATTAGTTTAAATCATTGCTTCACCCAGAACTGAGTCCATCACCTTCCCAGCAGCTTCTTCTCCTCTCCTGTGTCTACCTAACTGAATGGCACCACCAACCACTCAGCCACCTAAGACTGAAACGTGGGAGATATCCAGATTCCTTCCTCACACCCTCACCACCACTCTGCTGCCTTTGGAATATGTCCTCTACCTCCAAGTCCCATACAAATATATGTGATAGTCTTTTAATAAAATTAATACAAATGCACTATATACATATGAGTTCAAAGAGCTGAAAGGGAAAGTCAGAGAATGACTGGCAGCTGCCTGGGCAGAGGAAGCCAGAGGCATGGTCACGTTCTCTCTGGGGATGGCGGTTCCCCAAGTTTAATGGTGTTATTAAAAGAGAGACTCACACGAAGCAGTGATGCGAGTCTGTCATGAAGCAAGACTAGGTTCCATCATGTTGTGTGTTCCAGAACAGAAACATCCTGTCCAATGCACTAGGTTGTTCACCGTGGGGAGCCGGTTTGGGAGGGAGAGAGGAAGGAGTTAAGGAGGGGGATGTGGCCCAAACAGGCCACCCTGCACAGCCACCAGAGTGGGGCCTGGAGGCTGCCCATGATCACGGGCCACAAAGAGAGGAACACCAGCCACCCCTACCTGTTCCTCTGCATATGAGTGTTTATTCTTTGATTCAAAGGAGATTGAACTTTTTCATATGTTCAATGCCAGCTTTACTTCTTTGGTGAATGAGTTATTGTTTTAATGGGTGGGGTTCTCATTTATAAAAGGTTTTATGTTGTAAGAATTTTAGCTTTTTATACAGATGTTGTAAACATTTCCCCCAGTCCTTTCTAATATAAGTTTTGTCTATTTTTATTTTTCCAGGTAGAATCTTGAAACAGATGTTTCTCTCCCTTCCCTGGGCAGCAGCAAGCACCCCTCCAGCACGTGGCTGGCGTTGGGAGCCTGTGAGCTGTGGGGGTGGGAGGAGGAGGTGCTCTTCTGCACTGAGGCCTGATGGGAATTCGTTAGTCAGGAGGTGTCACTAACTAAACACCAGCAGTTCTGCTCTGTCATTACTGGACTTGAGCCTGTTATGGTTTCTCAGAGTCCTTGACTTTTGCTTTAACAAACAACCAAATCTGACGATGGCTTTGATCAAAGCCAGATGTCAGGATGAGCAGGCCCGCGGCTGGCCCACACCACTTGGAACACTCTGTTCCCTTTCCTCTCGGCCTCCTCATCCTTCACTCTGGGAGTCTTTCCAGGTCCTTTTGATCCCCGAGGCCACCAGCCAGCCCCTCCCACCACTTTCATCAACAGCAGTAACCACCCGCCCCAGGTGCACATGGGAAATGGCCAGGCACCTTCACACCCACTGTGGCAGTCCTGTAAGGCACTCCTAGAAGGAACTGTCAGCACCATTTAACCCAGAAGCAAAGCAATCTTCTCACAACCTCGGAGGAAGGCCCTGGCTGAGCTGCATCCCTGGTCCCCACTGTTCTGGTCCCAATCACCTGACCTGCCCAGCTTACTGAAAGGAGCCACCTGAGATAGGTGGGGTCTGGACTCAGGAGGGCTTGGTTGCCCAGAACATTGCCCTTTATTGGCTGGTCTGGCCTGTGTAGACTCCACCATTCCTGTCCCCAAGGCTTCACTGAGCCTCCTTGCAAAACACAGCCTGCCTATGGTCAGCAGGTAACGGCCTCCCAACGATACCCACCTCCTGACCCCTGCAACCTGCCGGAGTCCATTCATTGTCTTCACTATCTGATAAGTGTAGATAGAGACCCCCCCCCGCCCCCCCCCCGCCAAGGCTGGGTGCCTTTGAAGCCCTAGCAAAGGTCGGAGCTAGGCGCCACCTCTGTTTGTCCAGACAGTGGTAGCTGAATCTACTCCCCCATTTATTATTATGTAAATCCTTGCTGATGGGCTAGTCTGCCTGTTGCAGGGGGTCACCTGCCTAAGGGCTATGCTATGGGTGCACTCCAGATCAATAAAAGATTGGAGCAGCCTGAGCATGGGAGGATGTCCTTCGGGACTTGCCGCCTGGTCCCCCAATATTGCAAAATTATCTCGTGTCTTTTTCTCTCATTTGTTGTGCGGCTCCTCTTTCAGATACCGAACCCTACTCCACGCAGAACGTGGAGGGAGTCTTACACGATATCTGACGCCCAACGGGTAATCTGGAAGTGCAGGCCTCGCTGGAGCGAGAAAAGGAAGTTTTCACCAAAAAGGTGTGGAAAACTCACCAAAAAAAGGTGAGGGGAATTCTACCGCACGCAATGCCCAGGATCAACTACAGAAACCCAGGTCTGTAAGTACACTGGGAACGTTTTCTTAACCAGGCTAACAAACGGGGCAGGATTTGGCTTTAAAAAAGTAGATTCGGCTTTAAAAAGGTATATTTGGCTTTTAAAAACTAAGAAACTTTATTATAGGCTTTTGATTTGCATGTTTAAAGTATTAAAATTTTAGAAATTTCTGGGGAGAAACCAAGATGGCGGCATAGGTTAACACCGGAGATTGCTGCCTCGAACAACTACTTCAAAAAACAACTAAAAGATGGAACGGACATCATCCAGAACCACAGGAAGGCTGGCTGAGTGGAAATTCTACAACTAGGAGGAAAGAGAATATCATACCCAGACTCAGAGGAGGCGCAGTGCTGAAGTGAAATACTAAGGTGCGGAGTGCACGCGGAGTGGACTGGAGGGCGCGGTTGTTGTTTTCAATTGGGAGGGAGTTTCAGACTCTGAGCTCCAGATCCGGGCGAGTCTCTAGGGACCCAGACTCAAACGGGAGAAGCAGGACTGTCTGGCTTCGGTCAGAACTTGAAGGCAGCTTTCTCTCCGAGGTTTGTAGCAGTTGCTGGGACTCTGTGAGGCAGAGCCCCTAGGGACGGAACTGAGAGCAGCCATAACTGCTCGCTCTGGCCCGCCCTGTAGATCCCTGGGGACCCGCCCCGCCCAAGCCCTGCGCAGAGCCATTTGCCGGATAGCCTCAGGCAAATGCTAGATTAGCACCGCCCTAGAGATCCAGCACAGAAGTTCTCCCACTGCAGACACAGCGGACTCTCATAGCCAGTTAGCCTGGAGGTCAAATCACCCCCGGTATTGCTGACAACAATCAAGGCTTAACTACAACAAGACTGTGCACAAAGACCACTAGGGGGTGCACCAAGAAAGCATAAAAAAAAATGTGGAGACAAAGAAACAGGACAAAACTGTCAATGGAGGATATTGAGTTCAGAACCACACTTTTACGGTCTCTTAAGAACTGTCTAGAAGCCGCCGCTAAATGTAGTGAGATCCTCAAGAAATCTAATGAGACCCTTGATGTTATGATAAAGAACCAACTAGAAATTAAGCATACACCGACTGAAATAATGAATACTATACAGACTCCCAATAGCAGACCAGAGGAGCGCAAGAATCAAGGCAAAGATTTCAAATGCGAAGAAGCAAAAAACACCTAACCAGAAAAGCAAAATGAAAAAAGAATCTGAAAATACGAAGATAGTGTAAGGAGCCTCTGGGACAGCTTCAAGCGTACCAACATCAGAATTATAGGGGTGCCAGAAGATGAGAGAGAGCAAGATATTGAAAACCTATTTGAAGAAATAATGACAGAAAACTTCCCCCACCTGGTGAAAGAAATAGACTTACAGGTCCAGGAAGCGCAGAGAACCCCAAACAAAAGGAATCCAAAGAGGACCACACCAAGACACATCATAATTAAAATGCCAAGAGCAAAAGACAAAGAGAGAATCTTAAAAGCAGCAAGAGAAAGAAACCGAGTTACCTACAAGGGAATACCCATACGACTGTCAGCTGATTTCTCAACAGAAACTTTGCAGGCCAGAAGGGAATGGTAAGAAATATTCAAAGTGATGAATACCGAGAACCTACAACCAAGATTACTTTATCCAGCAAAGCTATCATTCAGAACTGAAGGTCAGATAAAGAGCTTCACAGATAAGGAAAAGCTAAAGGAGTTCATCACCACCAAACCAGTATTATATGAAATGCTAAAAGGTATCCTTTAAGAAGAGGAAGAAGAAGAAAAAGGTAAAGATACAAATTATGCACAACAAACATGCATCTATCAACAAGTGAATCTAAGAATCAAGTGAATAAATAATCTGGTGATCATAATAGAATCAGGGACATAGAAAGGGAATGGACTATTCTTGGGGGGGAAAGGGGTGTGGGAGATGCGGGAAGAGACTGGACAAAAATCGTGCACCTATGGATGAGGACAGTGGGTGGGGAGTGAGGGCAGAGGGTGGGGCGGGAACTGGGAGGAGGGGAGTTATGGGGGGGGGGAAAAGAGGAACAAATGTAATAATCTGAACAATAAAGATTTAATTAAAAAAAAAGAAATATAACAATTTCTGACCTTTACTTGTGGTAAATAAATAATAAAAAACACAAAGCAAATATGTAAAAAAAAAAAAAGTATTAAAATTTTAGAAGGTAATCTTTTACAGTTCTTTGTGTGTTATTATAGAACATAACCTTTATTTTTCTTGAAAAAGGTACTCTTTTAGATCAGGCTGAAAAAATAGTGCCATGGTCATCTTAATGTGTTTTCTTATCCAAATTAAAATCTTAATTTGTATTTGGAATCTAAAATCTGTCATAAGAAATGAAACCCTGCTGCCGAGTCTTCCTCTGGTGTGGAGAGATTCAAAGGTGGCAGGAAAAGGCAGAGCTATAAGCTCTCCCACAATGAGATTACTCAATGTTTTATTTAAAAATTACTGGAGAACATCTTATGACAACCAAACTTTGGCTAAGATAACCTTGGGTGCTAGCCATTGCTTTAGAAAGCGAAATAGGGAAAAACTTAAAATGTCTTTTTCAATTAAGCATGACTGGGAAAAATACACCATCTGAGTCATTTGCTGAAACTTCCCCCAAAGCAGGATGTGGGGGAAGGGCAGAAGGGAACACATGGCGATCCAATATGGACGCCCCCTCCCCAAGTATTCTAAAATTAAAGTCCTTCTTGTAATTGAAAAGCTTTTACAAATTTATAAATGCATCCAGGATTTCTGTGCACATGTAAAGGGAAAAGGCCAGTTTAAAAAGGAGTGCGCATAGTTTTGAGCTGAACTTGACCTTTTGCTGTGTACAGAATAAAAACCCAAGACTGATTTGGCCTTAAAAATGGCGGAGATGAACCTGAGAAAGAAATGCAGGCTGGTTTCCCAAGGCGATTTAAAGTAGCTCTTTTGAAATTTCCCGCTCTGAGGCAAGTACCACCAGGAAGTTGATAGTCAACTTTACATGTGAATAGCTATGGTTTTGCTTCTTGACTTCCCCAGCAGGAAAATTGTGACCATTTTGAAATTTAGCAGCTATGCCAGGCTTATTGGCTGGAAACTTAAAACTTTTAAGTTCAAATCATCTAAAAGTATTGAGATTTACAATACTGAAATGTTTATCTGAGTATGCCTAGTATGAAGTCTAGAAGATAGAAGTTAAGCTATTAATTGAAAATGCCTTATATTTTATTTGAAATGTATCCTTAAATGCAAAAGTATTGATTTGAAAAATGCCATGTAAGGAAATAGATCCTGTAACTAAATTACATCTAGAAAAAAATATTTTTTTTTCATTTTGTAATGCTAACAGCAAGACACCCATGAAAAACATATGTGGTGTCCAAATAAGCCAAAGGAAAATCATTTGGGCAAATACAAAAAAGGATTCCCCAAGTAAAATTTCCTTTATTAACCTTTGGTCGAGAATATGTTTGTATACTTTCAGAGAACAACTCCAAGACCATGTGGATTCCTGCAACAAGGGATCCCGGAGAGAAACTGACCAGATTGCTCCAGCCACAAAGACAGGAGAGACAGTTCAGAGATGGAGATGGTGAAGACGCCTTGCCATGCTAGCAGTCAGCAGCTGTGCGTCGCTGCAGGGTGCCCAGGACCAGACCATAAAGGACCGGACCTTCATTTTCCACCATCTAGAACCAACATTTTATTGCTGGCATGTACACACAAACTGTTGGACATTGAAACTTGGACTCAGAACTGTTGGACATTGAAATTGGGACTTGATTATTTTTTAAAGAAAAATAAGGGGGAGATGCCGGAGTCCATTCATTGTCTTCACTATCTGATAAGTGTAGACAGAGAACCCCCCCCCCCCCCCAAGGCTGAGTGCCTTTGAAGCCCTAGCAAAGGTCGGAGCTAGGCGCCACCTCTGTTTGTCCAGACAGTGGTAGCTGAATCTACTCCCCCATTTATTATTATGTAAATCCTTGCTGATGGGCTAGTCTGCCTGTTGCAGGGGGTCACCTGCCTAAGGGCTATGCTATGGGTGCACTCCAGATCAGTAAAAGATTGGAGCAGCCTGAGCATGGGAGGATGTCCTTCGGGACTTGCCGCCTGGTCCCCCAATATTGCAAAATTATCTCGTGTCTTTTTCTCTCATTTGTTGTGCGGCTCCTCTTTCAGATACCGAACCCTACTCCACGCAGAACGTGGAGGGAGTCTTACACGACAGCAACCTGTGACTATGTCACCTTCTACAGCAAAAGGGGTTTCCCAGAGGTGACTAAGTTAAGGACCTTGAGATAGGGAGAGGATCCTTGGTTATCCAGGGTAATCACAGGGTCCGCATCAGGAGGCAGGAGCGCTGAGTCAGAGAAGAGGTGACAAGGGAAACAGAAGTGAGAGGGATGCGGTTAGAATGAAGGCAGGCGCTCCCTGGAAGCTGGAAGAGGCAGCGCTCAGACTGTCCCTGGGGCCTCCGAGGAACGCGGCCCTGTTGACCCATTTTATTATTATTATTTCTTTTTTCTTTGTTGCCCCATTTTAGACTTCTGACCTCCAGAACATGAGAATGATAATTTTGTGCTGTTTCAAGCCACTGATTTTGTGGGTTTTGGTGCAGTAGCAGAAGGTGATATACTTCCTGTGACCTTTGGTGCCCTCCGAATCTCAGCCTGAGGGAGTAAGAGTGCACCTGTCCACCTCCTTCAACTTATAGGTGGGGAAACTGAGGCTCAAAGGAAGGGAGTGACTTGTGCAAAGCATACAATGAGCAGTCAGTGGCTGGACTGAGCCATGAACCCCAGGCTCCTGGCTGCCCTTCGGGTCTCTGTTACCCCACCCCTAACTGTCCCTCTAGCCCCGTTCTGGTCCTTCCCCTTTTGCTTTCACATTTCCTTGTTGCCTGAATTCATTTCGTTTATCCAGCAGCACCTGAAGAGGAACGAATGGGGGCGTCAGTTATTCACATCCTCGTATGACTTAGCGGGTAGGAAGGCAATCCCGAATGAAGCTCTGTAGTGGGACTTGAGGCGAATCCAGAGAACTCTACACAGGCGAGAGGGGGAGGCTTTTAAAAAGAGGAGAGCGCCCTGACTGGTTTGGCTCAGTGCATCGAGCATTGGCCTGCGGACTGAAAGGTCCCAGGTTCGATTCCGGTCAAGGGCATGTACCTTGGTTGCGGGCACATCCCCAGTAGGGGGTGTGCAGGAGGTGACTGATCGATGTTTCTGCCTCTCTGCCTCTCCCTTCCTCTCTGTAAAAAATCAATGAAATATATTAAAAAAAAAAAAAAAAGAGGATAGCAAGGACAAGGTCAGCCGAGCTTCCCCTGCAGTGAAGCCAAGGGCACAGAGGCAAACCATAGCTTATCTCCGGGGCAATGATGTCATCCTCTTGGTGACTTCCTGAGGCTGCTGCTGGGCTGGCTCCAGCTCTGACGTAGCAAGAATCCCTGGCTGGAGAGCAGGCCTCCTGAGGACCTCAAGGCCTCTCAGAGGAGCCTCAGGGGAAGGCGATGAGCGAGAGGACGGCGCTCCATCCACCTGGACAGAAGGCAGCCATGCTAGCTGGGCGCCTCCCATGCAGCTCCTCAGGTAATCCCCACCAGAGTTCTGGGAAGCGGCACCATTATGCCCCCATTTTCCAGATGAGGAAGCTTGAGGCTTGGAGAGGCGAAGCCCAGTTGTCCACGGCTTTGCATCAGCAGATGACGGAGCCAGGATTGGATGACCCGAAGGACACAAGTAGATCCGGTGGCTCTTTCTCCCCAGCTCCCCTTTCCACACGGACCAAACTTGGATTTGAAGGGTGAGCCTCTGGCCGTGGGACTTCTGGCCTCAGCAGTGAGTGGCAGAGAAGATTCAAAGTCAGTCGCGACCCGGAGCCAGCTCTGTGGCGTCCGGGAGGCATTCCACACACAGTCACGGAGTTAACCAATCTGCACTCAGTGAAGCTGGTAGCTGGAAATCGGTCCTGGTGGGAATGTCTACACCATGGCAAGTGCTACAGATGGGAGCTCCCCCCGCTCCTGCGTGTGCCCCCTACCCCACCACCACAAGGGAGGTGATCGTTAAACCTTTACTGGCACAACCCTTCTCAGGGCCCCGTGGAGCCTGACCAAACCCTGACTGTCTCGCTGTCTGCCTCCCTGCCTGTCTCCCTCCTCTTCCCTCTTCCACCTTCCACATCTGTGCCACAGCTGCCACAGCCTGAGTCAAGAGCTCTCGAGGACAGGGTCACGTGTAGGTCTCCTCTCCGTCACAGACACCCACGCTGAGCGTGCTGGCCACAGTGCATGAGACCAGTGAACAAATAAACAGCATTGGACATGACCCCAAGAGGCCATGCCAGCTTTCAAAATATAAAACCAAGAAAAACACTGGAGATCACTTCAGTGGACAGTCATTTTTGCTGGCTTCCTTACAATTTAAAACTCTTATCCTTTCAATTGTAACCTAAACCCTCCCTTCCCAGAAGCCTGTGGGGACCACTGACCCGGTGCAACCCCTGCCCCAGCCTCCCCCCTCCCCCCATCCCCTCTAGCCGCCCCCCCCCCCTCCGTCCCCACTCCCCCCAGCCCAGCACTCACAGGTCACCTGTCAGCCTCAAAATCCACCTCCTGGAAGCAGGATCCCCTGCCTCCTGTGACAGACTGGCATTTGCCCAGGGGCTGGCATTAATGAGCACCGTCACCTGACTCCCACCCTTCTCTTGCCTCATTTTCCCTTACCTGGCTCTCTGCCTCCCCCACTCACACCGTGGACACAGCTGAGCCAAAAACCTTCTGAAAGCTGTTCTCTCGGCCCGAGCCAACTCTGCCCTCGCAGCTTGGGAGCCCGTGACCATGCAGCGTGACCCGCCCACAGGCCCCACTATTTCCACTTGAGTCATGTTCAGCCGCCTGCCCGGACCAGTGTCACGGAATGTGCCCGGTGGCCACCCCAACACCCCTGAGGCTCCCCTCGCTGCTACAGAAGGACTGGGGTAGAATGGAGGTCCAACTAGACACCTCCTGGCTACGCTTGGCATGGGCACCCCCTGCCCGTAACCCTGGCATTGCCACCCTGCATGCCCCGCCCCGCTGCGGCTAACCAAGGTGAGTCAGGAGTTGAGAAGTAACTCACACCCTGACCACAGGTTCTGGCTGCGGAAAGCGCTCTGGTGTTGGGGCACGTGGCAGAACACCTGCCTCTGGGGGAACTGGGATCTCCTTCTGGGATTGGGAAAACAGCAGCTATTAAATTCTACTGTGTCCACAGCAACAACAACAAACAACGGTAATACCACCACTTTCACGGCACTTTCTATGGGCCAGGCTGTGTTCTCAGAACCTGACGACATGCACCACTTCATTTACCCTGGCAAAACCACTTTGAGGCAGGTACTATTATCACCTCTACTTTACATGGGAGGAAAGTGAGTTGCAGAGAGGCTAAGGAACTTCCCCAAGGCCACACAGCTAGTAAGTAGCAGAGCTGGGATTTGAAACCAGGCCCGGAGTCTGTGATGCTCATTCAAAAATAGGGGTGAAGGATGGGGACTAGAGATGGAGAAGTGATCGGAGACCAGGCTGCTATCGCTCAGGCTGATGGTGTGGGAATAGAAAAACAGGAAAGAGGACGCGACAGCCACAGGAGGAAGACATGAAGGAAGGAGTCCAGAGCCCGGGAATGACCCGCAGGGAGAGAGCTCATGAATAGCCCCCTGGGGGCAGAGCTGGGTCTCGCCCCCTCCCCCCAACTCCGTTAACCCTGCGGGCCCTGAGACAAAGTTAGACTTCCATCCTGGAGCCCTTGACTTCCAGGAGCCTGTTTTCTCATCCATAAAATAAACACAGCTGGGGATTTCATGAGGATTAAGTCTGATACAATTATTATGACAGCTAACACCATGGAATCCTGTGTGGGACGCTGGATATTGACTCACCTAGCCTCTCACTTACCTTATGGAAGTACAGTACTATTATTAGCTCAGTTTTACAGCTGAGAACACAGGCACAGAGAGGGTAGGGAACTGGCCCAGTGTCACAGAGCAAGTGAGTAGCAGAGCCAGGAACTGAAAGGCAGAGGCCATGCTCTTACACTCAAGTTACATTACCTCGCAAAGAAGAGAGCAGGCCAGCCGTGGTCCCCTCAGCCAGGCTCTCTCTATTTTAATGCGCTTACTGCTCCCAACAACCTTATGGGACAAGCATGGTTATTATTATTCCTATTTTGCAAATGAAGAAATAAGGCTCAGAGAGGGGGAGTAATTTGCCCAAGACACACAGCAAGTGGACGTCAAGACTAGCTAGCAAGTCCCTGCCATCGGCTCCAGAGTCGGAGTCCTGACCCACACCCTGGGAGCTGAGCTCTCTCTCGTCAGACTCTCAGGAGGCCAGCGGCCCTCTGCATGGTCCACCATGGGAATTGCTGCATTTGGATTCAGTACGATGTAAAAAACACAATGAAAACAGCAGTACCCAGTCCTGGCATTTACCTGGGGCTCAGTACCTCCTGAGGCTCTTATATTCCAATCCTCGCAAGTCTTCCTGCTCCTTTGTGAAGAGGCTGCACGGTGTCACCTCCCCGGTTTCACAAGAAGCGGGGGTGAGGAGGGGGGGTACGCTGCGAGCTAGCAGAGCTGACTCTAACCCTGACCACTGCCTGAGTCCTGGACCACTGACCCCACACTCTCTTTCTCTTTCCTTTTTACCATGTATCTTTCCTGATTACAATAGTAATATAGGCTCATTATAAAATATGCAAATACAAGAAAAAAATATGCCCCATAATCTTACACTCCCTCTCCCCTCATTCCGGAATAACCTTGGGAACGTTTCGGTATATCTCATCGGTTTTCTGCTGCACCAACCTCCCCAGATTTGTAGAATCACAGAGTCTAGCTGGAAGACAGTGGCCTTGTCCGGTCTCCAGCAGGGTGGCCCTGCCCCAACTCCTCCTGATTGACATGGCGTCCCCCGCTCCCTGGGAGATGTGAGCCCCGCCTGTTCCCCCGTGCTCCCTGGGACCCCACATGCTCCCTGTTTTCCTGGTTCCTATCAGGAAATGTTTGTGACGTTGATAAATCACAGGCAACCCCTCCTCCCAAAGCTCATTTCAGTTAATGAAACCTAAGCAGTTTTAGAGCCCGACTGTTCAGGGAGCTGCTGCAGTAGAAGAAACATTTTCCTATCTTTCCCCAACTGTTCTTGCTTTTTTTTTTTTTTTGCTGTCACTATTGCCTGAAATTCTACCACTAGAGCTCCTTGGATGTGTATTTCAGCATTATGCTGGTTCGAAATGAAACACAACCAACACCCCCAGGGAGGGTGGTCCACTCAGCATGGGACAGCATGGAAGGACAGATTGGTCCACGTCTTAATGGCTGAGTAACCCTGGGAAAATTACTTAGCCTCTCTGAGCCTTAGTTTTCTCACCTATAAAATGCCTCCTTTGGAGAACTTTTATAATTAAATGAGTGCATGGCCCATAACTATTGGTTCCCTCCAGGCCCTAAAATGACACTTAGCTTTGTACGGGATGGATAAGGGGGAATCCTGGGACTGTTTGGGGCAGAAGGAGGGGCTGAGAACTTGGAGGGGACGGTCATGAGAGGATGGGGAGCACAAGGAGCGAGTGTGGACGTGTGTAAAAGAAAACAGCTGGGGAACCTCCGCCCTGGGAGGGAGGGACCCTTCAAGACCATCATCTGCCCCCATAATAGTACAGCTGGGGAAACTGAGGCCCAGGGAGGAAGGGAAGTGCCTGAAGGCCCCTAGCCAACTATCAGGGATTTTCAGAATCCACAAAGCAGATTCTCAGAACTGGAGTCAACCAAGGAAGGGGCCAGCAGACGACACTCCCCAGACTACACTCTAAAGAGAAAGCTCCACAGTGACCCATCAGCACGTCCCTCTCCCCACACATTCCCCCAAGCACCAGGCCACTGGATCCAGTCCCTCTCTAATTCCTGGGCAGGGCCCACCCCGCTCTGAAAGGGGCCATAGCACACCAGAGCCAGACCCACCTGCCTGGGGATGTACACCCAGTGCACAGGAGGAGAGCAGCAGCGCCGGGTCCTTCCTCAGGGAAGCGCAGAGGGAGAGTTCCTCTTCCCAAGCTCTTCCCCTCTCTGGGCAACATCCTTTATACATCCTCCTTTACACATCCTGAGCCCCACCTCACCACACAGCCTGAACTGTTCTCACTGAAAACAAGTCAAGCTCAGAGACGGGCCACCACCCTGCCCCAGGAAGGAGTATCCACCCCTGCTGCCCGCCCCCATGTCGCCCCTCCCTACCCCCCCCCCCCCCCGCAAAAACAGTCTAATTATTTTGGGAAAAAATGTGACTCCAACCACACCTCTTTGGAAGATCCCCAGCGGTTTCCAAACTGGGCACAAGGGATGGAGGAGCCATGGCCTGTGAGAGGGATCTCTGGGTTAAACAGGCCCCGAGTGACCTATCTGCTCAACTCAAGGCTCATCCCAGTGCCTGCTTAGCAGTGGGTTTGGGGGACCAAGAGGCTGGAGTGAGCGGTGCTTTCTCCCTGTATGCTGATCTTCAGGGCTTTGGTCTCAGCTGCAACTGAGCAGCTGGCCATTAGATGATGTCTAACAGGATGTCTGATCCTAGAGGCCCTGGTGCTGTGTGGGCCTGACCAGTGTGACCTCATGTGTTTGTCCTTACCCTCTTCCTGTGTGTGTGCACGTACACACACACACACACACACACACACACAGAGTTTGTATTCCTGGGAGTGCCTCCTGCCACCACAGGGGGCTTGTTTGTGGTGCATTGTCACAAAAGAACAGATGCAGAGGGTCCGGTCAGGCCTTCCTCCAGAACTATCCTTCCTCCCAGGCCAGGATGCCCTACAAGCTGTAGCTCTTCCCTCAGCCACATGGCAAGCATCACTGTGCTTGAGAAACCATGGACACCGACTGGATATTATGTAGAATTGTCATAGCTGGCATCCTTCCCCCTCCGGGATTGCTGTTTTATCCACTGGGCTCGCCCTTTCTGCAGAGTTACTTCCTGCCCAGATTCTATCTGTCCTTCAAAGTCTTGGATAGAACTAGCAGCTCGATAAGCGATTCCTGAATAAAAACCATGGCTTGGGCCCTAACCGGTTTGGCTCAGTGAATAGAGTGTCAGCCTGCGGACTCAAGGGTCCCAGGTTCAACTCCGGTCAAGGGCATGTACCTTGGTTGCGGGCACATCCCCAGTAGGGAGTGTGCAGGAGGCAGCTGATCGATGTTTCTAACTCTCTATCCCTCTCCCTTCCTCTCTGTAGAAAAATCAATAAAATATATTAAAAAGAAAAACAAAACCATGGCTTGGTGTCCTGTATCATATGGGAAGAAGATTCAAATACGGCAGCACTTTCCCCGTCTCTCCCTTGCTGGCATCTTTGTCTTTAGGGAAGCTGACACTCTGGTCCATCTTGCTCATGAGACTCCCCACCAGAGTTTGAATTTGAGTGGCAGGTTCCAGTCAGAGGAAGTCAGTCAAGGCTCCAGGGTTAGGGTTAGGGTTAGAGTTAGGATTAGGGCATTCCAAAAGCAGGGAGTTCCAGGAATGAGGCTGGCCAGGTAGGCCCAGGGCACCCCACTGCTCTCCAGTCAGTCATCCTGCCCTTCACAGATCCACCCCAATCCTGACCGGCCCTGCTGCACACCAGCCAACCTCACACACTGAGTGTTTCCTTCTTGACTCCCTTTCTCTGCCTTCCTCAGACAGGCATGATGAAAGTGCCTGTTCCCAGAGAGGTGCACAAGGACCTAGACCCACAGGCCACATAGAGTGGAGGCCAAACCTGGGATGGCGAGGAGGGACCTTCCAAGTGGGAGGGCCTCTCAGTCTCTAGTCCAAACGCCAGATACCAATAGGAAGAATAAGGTCCAGGGAGCTGCCCAACAAAAGTTACAGAGTCCTGGTTCCACCATGGGGAATGGCCAAGTTCTAGAACCTGGGTTCTTTCCTCATATCCTTACCCCACTTTTTAACTTTTTTATTTCAACACTAGTGGCCCAGTGCATGAATTCATGCACATGGAAAGGAAATTAATTAGAAGAAATATTTTAATATTGCTTTTTGCCCTTTCTCTATAATAGAAGTGTCAACCAAATTCACAATCGACAATGACAGATCAAAACATGCCTGTGATTGGCACCAGCGAGAGCTTTATATGTATAGATAAACTTGCTTAATTAGACCTGCTTTCTGATTTAGCTAAACTTTTTCCAATCCAGTGAAGCACACCAACTTCTCTTTTAGATAATTGTTAGCAACACAGCAGTAAATATCAACATGAAGCAGATTATTATTGTAGATCACACAGGGAGAACAAAAGGTAAAATATTTAACAGGGGCTTGAAATTTTTAACTGTCCTACTTATGTCCTTTCTTTGGTCCAGGATCTAAAGCAGAATCTCACATTGCATTTGGTGGCTACATCTCCTTAATCTCTCCATTCCATGACAGTTCCTCAGTCTCGCTTCGTCTCTCATCACCCACACAGTTTCGAAGAGAGCTGTAGAGTGACCCTGAATTTTGGTCTGACGCCTCTTCATGATTAGATGGAGGACATGCACTCGGGCAGGCCCACCATGGAAGTGACGTTGTGTCCTTCTCAGGGGGTCATACGGAGGTACACGATTTCAGTGTCTCAGGAGTGACGATGTTAACTTTGACCACTTGGTAAAGTGGTGCATGCCAGGATTTTCCACAGTGAAATTACTATTTATTCATTTGTAATTACTAAGGATCTTGTGGGGAGGTAATTGGAAACTACACAAATATCCTGCTCCTTAACATACTTTCGCCCACTAACTTTAGCATCTGTCGATGACACTTTCTGACAATTAGTACTGCAGTATTTGCCAAATGGTGATTCTCTATTTCCTTCATTCTTTCTACATTTATTAATTACTAGAGGCCCAGTGCACAAAAATTTGTGCACTTGGGGGGGGTCCTACAGCCCAGTCTGTGCCCTCTCACAGTCTGGGACCCCTCGGAGGATATTCACCTGCTGGCTTAGGCCCGCTCCCCAGGAGATTAGGCCTAAGCTGGCAGTCAGACATCCCTCTGGCAGCCTGGGAGCCCTCGGGGGATGTCCACTTGCCAGCAGGGAGCAGGCCTAAGCTGCAGTCGGACATCCTTAGTGCTGCTGAGGAGTGGGAAAGTCTCCCACCACCACCGCTGTGCTGGCAGCTGGCAGCCTGGCTTGTGGCTGAGCAGAGCTCCCCCTGTGGGAGCGCACTGACCACCAGGGGGCATCGCCTGCATTAAGCGTCTGCCCCCTGGTGTTCAGTGTGTGTCATAGTGACCAGTCATTCCCAGTCATTCTTTGTTAGGGTCAATTTGCATAGTATCCTTTTATTATATAGGATAATTTTACTCTAAGAAAAGGGTGACCCTATTTATTTCTTCATTCATTTCTATCAGTATGGACT